ATGGCATCATAAGACTTAAGAATCACAAAAATATATTAATTGCACAGCACACTACATTGGGCTGGTTAATTTCAGGAAATCACAACACCAGAACTGATACACATTCTATTGATGTCAATGTTCACCATGCTAATATTCAAATAGACTCATTGTTACGGCAATTTTGGGAGATTGAAGAGAACATTGATAATAGAATCATGACCAAAGAAGAGTTACAATGTGAAACACATTATGAGAAAACACATGAACGGTCAGGGGATGGGCGATATTCAGTCAGATTACCATTTAAATGCAACCCACCTGACATTGGAGAATCTTTATCACTTGCCAAAAAACGTTTTGAATTATTAGAAAATAAATTTAAAAGAAATTCCAACTTACATGAGAGGTATAATGATTTTATGGCAGATTACTTGAAACAGGGTCACATGGAGCAATGCCCAAGTGATAACCCCAATCACAAGACTTGTTATATACCACATCAGGCAGTCATCAATGAACAACATTTAACTACAAAACTACGGGTTGTGTTTGACAGTTCAGCTAAAACAAGTAATGGGAAGTCTCTCAATGATAATTTACTAGTAGGTCCAGCTTTACAAAATGATCTGAGAAATGTCACTATAAGATGGAGAAGACACAGAATTGCTTTAATAGGAGATATCCGACAAATGTATAGACAGATTATTGTACATAAGAAAGACAGAGATTATTTAAGAATACTTTGGTATTCTGACACTGGTGTTCTTCAACATTTTAGATTAACTACTGTAACATATGGAACATCTTGTGCACCATATTTAGCAATTAAAACTCTTAAACAATTAGCAGAAGATGAAAAAGAAAATTTTGGTGATCAAATTGTGGATACAGTATTATTTGATTTCTATATAGATGATTTATTAACTGGACATACTAACATACAAAATGTAGTAGAACTAAAAACAAACTTACTGAATTATTGCATAAAGGCGGATTTACACTACATAAATGGGCTTCTAATAATTCTGAAATAGAAGATGTTGATCAATCAAGTCGAAAGATTCTTGGGATTATGTGGAATGGACTCACAGACACATTTGAATTACAAATAACTTTACCACCACCTTCTAAGTCAATAACAAAAAGATCAGTTTTAAAAGATATAGCCTCAATATATGACTCCATTGGTTGGTTAGCACCTATTGTTGTGCTTGCTAAACATATGCTCCAACAGCTATGGACTGAGAAAGTTGACTGGGACGATCCATTGCCTGATGCACTGTTACACAATTGGTTAACATATAGAAAAGAATTGTTAGAAATGCCAGTAATAAAAATACCAAGATGGTTAGGTATCACAGATAACACACTGAGTGTTGAATTGCATGGATTTTCAGATGCTTCAAATATTACTTACTCAGCAGTTGTATACTGTAGAGTTATAACAGCAACTAAATTGTTACAATAATTGAATCAAAGACAAGAGTGGCCCCTGTAAAACAAATTTCTTTACCTAGACTTCAATTGTGTGGCGCTGTCCTATTGGCCAAGTTATTGCATAGAGCTCAACATGCCTTAAGTATTCCACTTCATGATACATATGCATGGACAGATGCTACTATAGTTTTGGCATGGTTGCAAAAGTCACCGTGTCATTGGTGCACTTTTGTTGCCAACCGAGTCACAGAAATAACCAATCTAATCAGCAAAGACAGATGGCACCATGTCACATCGCAGAACAACCCAGCAGATGTGGCGTCGAGGGGGACCTCGCCGTCAGAACTATCGCATCATCCACTATGGTGGGTAGGACCTGCCTGGCTGCGCGAGGCTGAGGCCTTGCCGCTCAATCAAACTATGATTGAGCCTACGGAGCTGGAAAGCAAGTCATCATTGTCAGTGAATAGTGTATAAGTGAAAGTGATAAGTGTCAGTCTCAAAACATGTGTTTGGACTTCCACATTATGGACAAATATTCTACTTTAACTAAACTTATTAGGGTCATGTATAGAGTGTTGAGATTCATTAACTGCCTGAAACATAAAGTAATAACTAAAAATAACTTGCCTTTTTCTGGATGGCTTTCATCTGATGAATTAAAGATGTCAATGAAAAGATTAATCAAATTATCACAATGTAAAAACTTTTCAAAAGAAATTAAGATTATTGAAAACAATAATGAAGATAAATTTAAACAATTAAATAAATTAGAAAATGGTAGAAAAATTTATAAATTAAATCCTTTCCTTGATGATGAAAAATTACTAAGAGTGGGAGGCAGATTATTTTATTCTTCTTTATCTAATGAAATGAAACATCCATACATTTTATCAAAAGATTGTAAACTTTGCATGGGGGGGTTCAGTTAACATTAAATTTTTTTAAGATCTGAATATCATATTATAAGAGGTAGAATCCTTGTAAAATAATCGATTCATAAATGTATAACATGTGTTAAAAATGCAGCAAACTTAAGCTCTCAACAAATGGGTAATTTGCCTAAAGAACGTATTAACCCTCAACGTCCATTTAGTGTCACAGGTGTAGACTTTGCAGGTCCTGTTATACTTAAATTGTTTAAAGGTAGAGGTTCAAATAAAACCCAGAAGGCTTATATTGCTGTATTTATCTGCTGATCAGTTAAAGCTGTGCACTTAGAATTAGTGACAAGTCTTAGTTCTGAAAGTTTCATTGCTGCTTTTAGACGTTTTACTGCTCGTAGAGGCCACTGTCATCAGCTTATCAGTGACTGTGGTACAAATTTTGTTGGTGCCAATAGGGACTTGAAACAGATGTTAAAAGAGAGTAGGATTGACTTGCCTTCTGAAATATTTGATTTACCAGCTCGGAATGGCACAGAATGGAGGTTCAATCCTGCTGGAGCACCTCACATGGGAGGCAAATGGGAGGCTGCTGTCAAATCAGTCAAATTTCACTTAAACAGAGTCCTTAATGACACTAAACTAACTTATGAAGAGTACTCCACTTTGCTTTGTCAAATTGAATGTTGTTTAAACTCTCGACCATTAGTTCCTATAAATGATGATTCTTTAGAGGTTTTGACCCCAGGTCACTTTCTCGTTGGTGAAACAATGATTACAGTGCCTGAGAGGGATATTGAAAATGTTAAAATACCTTATTTACAAAGGTGGACTTACCTTCAAGAGAAAGTTCAATCTTTATGGCATAAATGGAGCCATGATTATTTAGTAACTTTACAAAATCGTAACAAATGGGTTAGTAATAAACCTAATCTTGAAGTAGGAAATATTGTACTTGTAAAGGACAATAGACTTCCAGTATCTAAATGGCTTATAGCTAGAGTTGTAGAGACACATCCAGGTAGTGATGGATTAGTACGAGTTGTAAGTCTCAAATGTAAAAATAATATTATTAAAAGACCAATTCATAAACTCTGTTTATTGCCAACTGAAAGTGATTAGTATATGTAAACATTAATTAATATCCTTAATGCACTTTTACCTTAGTGTATGTGTTTATAACCGAGTAAAAATATATTGTTCCTTGGTTTTAAAAGGACTATATGTCCTTTGGTGGGGAGAATGTTAAAGTTAATTATTCTTTGTCTAGGGTGACATCTCGGTGTCTATATTATTCAGTACTTGATCTGTGGCACAATATATTTTTTCTCTTCCACTATAACATGGCGTCAATTGTGTACGTAAAAATTGTAAAATCTGAGTTTTAAAAATAAAAGTTATCGTTACTGAAGAGCTATTTTGTTTAAATTATAAACAATGTGTGTGTGTAGAAGGTTCTAGAAGGATAAGTGTATAAAAGGAAGTAGGCAGGAGATTCTGGATCTTTTTCGGCGAGTGAGATCAACAGGGGCGGAATTCTGGTAGTCGGTCAGTGTGTGTTTAAGTAGAAGCAGAACAAGGGCGAAGCGCTGGAGGAGGAGCTGTCGATACGGGTTTCAGCATAAACAGAGCTGAGTGGTTTAACAGTTTTGGGTTCAGGGCTTCCGCTTTGGACCACAAGTAAGTGCTATTAGGGAACGTAGTTATATCAAATTTTATATTTTTCTGACATAGATATGAAAGTAATATCCGATACGTTCTTAGTAAATAATATAATCTTGAAAATACAACGATTCACAGTAATTCAAAATAGTATGTATGAATGATGGATGACGAATTTTGGAGTATCCTTGAAATTGACAGGAAAACCCTACAGCGGTATATATTTGCAGATAAATTATGATAAGGAGATATTATCAAGTAGGATTTTTGTGTGTGTTTTATCATTAATTACTTTGTAATTATGTCTTTCAGATGTTTTACATTATACTATCTATTTATATACATAACATACTACTCAAATAACACAAAACTAACCTGACATAAGAAAATATAACCACTTTGAATTAATCTAGTCAGTTTCATAATTCTAATTTTCAATTTCAATTTCTATCGGTCCAGATTGGAATGAGAATTCATATGTGTTTCAGTTTTTTCTTATTTGGACTCTTTAGAGTCTGTTCATACTTATTTTTATTCCTAGGTTTTCGTAGTTTTATAAGAAGTCACAATATTGGGTTGTTCCAATCATTCGTTAATATCGTAGGTGTTGTCCGCTATTTGAATGTATGGTACGGTGAGATACCAGTATCAATGACCCCCTATCCTATACTGGGCAGTGATGCCAACTTAGGGTAAATTACCCTAGATTTAGAGTAAAATTTATCCTACAGGGTAATTTTCAGGGTATAAATGTTTTGAGGGTATTTTTTGGAGTAATTTATTTTCTGCGGGTATTTTTTAGGGTAATAACTTGAAAACTTTAATAGCATATTATATAATCAACTGTCAAAGAAATAAAAACTCATAATTTAGTGTTTCTGAACGCAACCATAATGTAGTAATTGGTGAACGCATCCCTATCGATTGCTATGTCTTTTATTCTCGATTGTGTCTATTGTCTGTGGTTGGAGCTTGTTTAGAATGTGTACTCTGTGATTGTTTGTCGTGAACTCATTTACTCTATGGTTGTGAAAAATGGCGTCAGCGACTACTAGTAGAACGCGTTTAAATGTGAAAAAATATGCTCAAAAGTACTGTAAGGAATGGGAGTATGACCCGAATTTAAAAGGTAAGTTTGGTTTTCATAAAAAGTCATCAAATTAATCGGTTAAGGAGTAGTGTTCTTAAAAACTGTTTGGTTGTATGTGAATGCTGCTAAAGTCTGTCGCACAAAAGAAGTCCCGCAGTATAACTCTCATTCCATTATAATAAAAGCGAAAACATCATGATCCGAGAGACTTCCTTCGTGAGACGAACTTTAGCATGTCAAAGTTTGTATTTTGTTTAAATTTTTGCATAAGGGTTGCCAGTGGCAACGATTTTCCCAAAATGTGTGTTAATATTTTAAAGTTGGTGATGGATAATACTGATAGAGCATTATGCGTTAATTGTTTGTAATCTTGGTGGTCAAGTGGGTGGTGGGAATTTAACGCATTATTATTTATTTTTTTTAGATTGGATTTGTCCTGACCAGACTGGTCAAAATTATTCTCGCTGCAAATTTTGTAATGTGACTCTAGTCCCTCATAAAAAAGGGTTATTTTCCACGCAAAGAGTAAAAAACACCTAAATGCAGTTTCATTAGATAAAGCCGCCAAGTCTAGCCAGCAATTACATTTCTCTAAGACTCTTTTAAAACCAACAAAAATAGCTGAATTAAAGTTAGCAGCTTATATCACCGAACACGGTGCCATCCAAAATATAGATCATTTGGGTGAAATCCTGCCATTTATAGACCCTAAATCAGAAATTCTAGGGACTCTTAAGATTCATAGAACGAAATGTAGCATGCTAATAAAAAACGTTTTGGGTCCTGCAATGTTGCAGGACATGTTAACAGATGTAGGTGATTCTGCCTATTCACTAATTATTGACGAAACAACGGATATGACAACAGATAAAATTCTGGCAATAATGATTCGCTATTTTTCTAAAATAAAACAGGATATAATTACCACATTTTACAGATATATTAAAATATCTAAATGTGATGCAACCACCATATATGAAATTATAAAAAAGACTTTACTAGAGGACTCTTTACCTCTTGATATGCTGGTAGGAATTGGATTAGACGGTACTAATGTAATGATTGGAGAACACCACTCTGTTGCAGCACTGCTGAAAAGAGATTTGCCTGATATTATTATTGTTAACTGTACCTGTCACTCATTACATTTATGTGCAGAAAAAGCATCAGAGTGTATGCCCCGTCAACTGGAATTTTTAATTCGTGAAAGTCATAATTGGTTTTCTTATAGTTCAAAACGCCTTGAAGCCTACAGGGGCTTATACGAAGTTATGAATGAAAGTCGAGCTCCGAAAAAAATACCAGGATTTTGTGGAACACGCTGGTTAGCACGTTCTCATGCTATACGTACGTTACTCGAGCAATGGGAGGAATTAAAGCTTCTTTTCTCGATGGCTAGGAGTGAAGACAGATGTTTTATGGCCGAAAAACTTTATGACATCATGAAATGTGACGCAAACCATGCATATTTTACGTTCTTGGATGTTCACCTAAGGCAAGTTACTAAAGTAAATTCTCTGTTTCAAAGCGACAACATCGATCCAGCTAAACTTTTAGAAGACTTGTTTATGCTATTCAAAAACGTCCTTCAGATTATCGTCATACCTCGAAAGCTCGAAACTTTTATAGAAACAGAATATGCATCGTTTGATTTTCAGTCTTATCTAATGCATGTATCAGCAATGCATTTTGGCTACACCGTTGAAGAGGCATTATCAAAACTAGTTAGAGAGGAGAAAGAACACGTTCGCCAGAGATGTAAAAACTTTCTTGTTATTTTGTGTACTGAACTACAGAAAAGGTTGCCAAAAAATATTGCATTTCTTAAATCCGTAGCAAAGCTGTCTCCAGATATAGCGACGTCTCAAGTAAAACCAACACTCGTTGACATTCTACAAAATGTTCAAAGGGTTGAAGTATATGGTTGCAAACAAGAAGTGGAAACTGAATGGAATAATTTGCAAAACAAAGCTTGGCAAAATAAATCGCGTTGTATTGAGTTTTGGGCTGAGGTTCAACGGGATACAGATGCTGCTGGTAATAAAAGATTCTCTAACATTTCTAAATTAGCTTTGTCTCTTTTGTCAGCGCCTATATCTAATGCAGCTGTAGAAAGAGCTTTTTCTGTTTATTCAATAGTAAAAAATAAACTTCGAAATAGACTATCACTGCCTATGATACAAAGTATTATGTTGGTTACATACAATCTAAGACTTTTTCGCAATTCTTGTGTCAACTTTACACCTTCAAAAACAATGATTGATAATTTCAATAATAGCATGTATAATAATAACGGTTGTGATGTAGAAGCAGAAGATACTTTGATAGTCATGTGCGAACAATAACTGTTATATATAAGTATAATTCATTTTCGTCTTAAATGTATCTTTTAGTTCTAAGTGCCTACAAACAAAATTTGAATAAAAGAAATTACTACAACTATACTGTCTTTTTATTTGCTATGCAAGAAAACAATGTTTACCGTCTATAAAAGGCGAGTTGTCAGTCCGGAGGTCTACTAGCTTTCTAAAGGCGGGTGATTTTTCTAAGAATTAATTGTTTAGGAGTATTTTTTTCCAAAATATGCTTAATCTAGGGTAAATCGAGACAATGTCTAGGGTAACGCTAAAATTTGACCTGGCAACACTGATTGGGTCAGGATGGTGATCACCGCCAGTATCGGAAGTGTGAGAGATAGCTCGGTTGATTACTTGTGCCATCAGCTCAGTGGAGGGCAAATAATCCTGTTATATTGACAAATAATTATAGGGCTTCGCTTTATTGTGTCGTTCTGATGTGGTAGCTTGTAGGATATTAAACGAGGTAATCCCACATAAAATTCGGGAGTCGAACCCGATAAGAATGTTCAATTTAAACAGCACAAAACAACACAGTTCACGAGAAGGAAAAGAAGCACAAGCACTAAGAATGAAGGATATATTATTTACACATAGAATAGAATAAAATTACAAGAAAAGAATTATATAAAATAGCGAAATTAAGCAAATTGTTAATTATTAGCAATGTGACGGTCGTACGCAAGCAAAGCTATATGCAGAGTCATTCTTGTTCGGCCGACGGCGCGACGACGCGAGCAGGCACGCATCATCACGAAGCGAACGCGTGCGACAAGGATGCGCATACGCCCGGCGAGCTACGTAATGCGTGACGTCAGTCATCGCCGCTGGCCCAAAGCGCATAAGTGGAGCGTTTCTTCTTCGAATTGTAGGGCGGTTACCCAAGTATAAAATTGGAGCGGATAGCTCGCCACAGTACTCCCCCGGCAGACCGTGACTACGGTCGATAAAAATCTGGAAGTCGAACTCTTCTCCCACTGGACGTCCGTTTGGTTTCTTCGTGTGTTTTCTCCGGAATTTGGGCTTCTCGTGTGATGTATGCCGGTTTGAGCCTGTCCATCGATACATTGACGTTCTTCCCTTTGTATTCGATGGAGAAATATTAAGGCTGCCTGCTCACGACCTTGAATGGTACAGTGTAAGGTGGCTCCAGTGCTCCTCTAACACGATCTTGGCGGAGAAAGACATGGATGGCAGTGTGAAGATCGCGTGGCACGTAGAATGAAGCTGTGGAATTCCAAGAAGTTGGACGTGGTGAGAGCTTCACCATGTACGCGCGAAGTCGTGTCACGTACTGGGTGACATCAGCAGTCAGGTAGTCGTCCTTCGGAGACAGGAATTGGCCAGGCAAGCGAAGTGGCTCGCCGTAGACCAACTCAGCAGGGGATGATTGGAGGTCATCTTTCCAAGCGCCGCGCATGCTCAAAAGCACCAGTGGAAGAGCTTCAGTCCACTGAGAAGAAGAAGCATGGCACATTATAGCCGCCTTGAGTTGGCGGTGTAGTCGCTCGACGATGGCATTGGCTGCTGGGTGATAGGCAGTCGTGCGCAGGTGGCGCGCACCAACCAGTGCGGTGAGGGCTTCGAAGAGGTGGCATTCGAACTGACGACCACGGTCTGTAGTCACCCGCTCAGGACAGCCGAATCTGGCGATCCAGCCAGACACGAGGGCAGCAGCACAGGTCTCCGCAGTGATGTCCTTGAGTGGATATGCCTCAGGCCATCGCGTGAACCTGTCGATGACTGTGAGACAGTACCTGTAATCATAAGACAGAGGTAAAGGCCCTATGATGTCGAGGTGTATATGGGAGAACCTCAAGGAAGGTGGAAGGAAAGGGAAAAGGGGAGAGAATGTATGGCGGGAAACCTTGCATTTCTGGCACTGCAAGCATTGCCTAGCCCACTCTCTACAATCTTTACGAATCCCTGGCCAAACAAATCTTTGTGTTACCAGTCGTACAGTAGCTGAACTTCCTGGGTGATGTAAGTTGTGCAGCATATCAAAGACTTGCTTGCGGAACTCGGGCGTGATGTACGGACGTGGCGTAGGACCGGAAATGTCGCAATATACCGGTATTACGCTGGATACAGTGGGTACTTTTGACAGTTTTAATGTTGAACCACGTTCGATCAGCTCCTGCAGCTCCGGGTCTTCCTCCTGAGTCCGTGCAAGAGACTGGTAGTCGATGGTCGTACCTAATGTAGTCACCTCCTCCACTCGCGACAAAGCATCAGCGACGACATTTTCTCGCCCAGGTAGGTACCGTACGTCTGTAGTGAACTGAGAAATGAAGTCAAGGTACCGAAACTGTCTAGGCGAACATTTATCTCTGTTGAGTGAGAAGGCAAAAGTAAAGGGTTTGTGGTCCGTAAACACCACGGAAGTTATCGCTTCAATCATATGGCGAAGTTTGATGGCTTCGTATACCGCTAGTAACTCTCGGTCGTATGGGCTATACTTCTTTTGTGAAGCACTCAGTTTCCGAGAGAAGAAAGCCAATGGTTGCCAGTCTTTGTCAATACGTTGCTGTAGCACGGCTCCTATAGCCATATCCGAGGCATCCGTGACTATGGCAAGTTTGGCAGATGGGTCTGGATGTGACAGCAGAGTAGCTTGAGAGAGGGATTCCTTACACTCGTTGAAGGATTTCAGCCTATCCGATGTCATCTCAACCGGATGCGAACCTTTGATGCGAGGGCCGGCAAGAATGTCCGTAAGCGGCGCCTGAATCTGAGCGGCGTTAGGTATGAAGCGACGGTAAAAATTCAACATACCTAGGAATCGTTGAAGTTCCTTGACTGTTCTTGGCGGTGAAAAGCTCTGGATAGCCTCAACCTTTGTCTCCAAAGGTTTCGTACCAGCTGCCGAAACTTGATAGCCAAGAAACGTAACCTCGTGCTGTCCCAGTTTACATTTTGAAGTGTTGACCAAGATGCCATACTGCTTCAGACGATCAAAGAGCTGCCGTAGGTGAACCTTATGTTGGGCTGGAGTGGGGGAAAATACCAAAATGTCGTCCAAATACCCATAGCAGAAATCAAGCCCCAGAAGGACTTCATCGACGAATCGCTGGAAAGTCTGTGCAGCATTCCTCAGGCCAAAAGTCATGTACGGAAATTCGTACATACCGAAAGGTGTAGTGATGGCAGTCTTGGGTATATCCGCAGGATTTACGGCGATTTGGTTATACGCCTTCACGAGATCGATAGTGGAGAAGATAGAACACCCAGAGAGCTGGTAAGAGAAATCGTGAATATGACGGATGGGATACCGATCTGGAATCGTCCTGGCGTTGAGTGCACGGTAGTCACCGCACGGTCGCCATCCGTCGTCCTTCTTCTTCACCAGATGCAGAGCAGAAGACTAAGGACTCTCTGAGCGTCTCGCTGGACCACAAGCTAGCATGTCCTCGAATTCCTTCTTCGCGGCCAAAGTGCGAACTGGATCAAGTCGTCGAGGCTTGCAGGAAACGGGTGGACCAGGCGTCGTTCTAATGAAATGCAGCGTATTGTGCCTAGGTGGACAATGAACACCTGTGGGTCTCGTGATTTCAGGGTACTCACGCAATATGTCGTAGAACTCAGACTTGCCAGAAACGATCTTGACAGAAGCGATGTCGTCAGGGCAATGGATAGTGGTCGCTGCTACTGAGAGGGTCGTGACACCATTTTTTTTTTTTTTTTTTTTTTTGACGGAAGGAAATGCATGAAATTGCATACCCGCTTCCCACAGCGCGTGGTCCACGGGTGATGTGGGGCTCTCCCCGGCAGACGGCCGGGGCCTACCCACTAAAACCTGCCGATGTCCCTCACAAGGAAGGCGGCCGTGGGATCGGCACGATGCCATTCACCACAGTACCGCCCCCAAAGAACCCGCCCAGACGGGGCAGGTTCCCTCTCGGGTTAGGGGGGAGGCTCAGGAACATTCGAGTCTCACCCCCCAGACAGGACAAGGGGCGTGCAATGTCCGGTAGCGCGCAAACCACCAGACTGCCCCTCGTCAAGGACAGGAGACACGCAACTGTGTCCCTCCTGCCCTAACGACTGTCTCGTGGGGACACATATGGGTTGCCCCACATATGCCCCTCTCCCCGATAGCCCCGGTGACCTTCCCTCCTCCCCGGTACACCGTTCCTTAGTCGCGCCCATGGCCGCGGCCCCGCCGGCGCCCGATCACCCCACACACCGAACGGTGTGTGTTGCAGTCGGGCACCGACGACCCCGCGGCCATAGTGCGAGATGGAAAGCTCCCTCCCCCACACACTTAGGTTGAACTCCCTGGTTCCCCTCACTACCAGCCATCCCGCTCCACATCGGCAAGCCAGAGGGTTAAGGTAGGCTGGTAATCTTCGCGGATTTTGAGCCTCGCATACGGTCGCACATAAATGTACGGCCGCCATGAAAGGCCCGTCCTCCGGTCCGCACGGGGAAACGCAGGGTACGGAAGCCTGGCTGCCCACCAGGGAACAAGAAGCCCGCGGCCCCCCTGCCCGCCCCCAACCGGCGGCGCATCCGGGACCCTCTCCAAGGAGAGGGATGGAAGCGACGCCGGCAGGGGCGGGCAGGGGGGGAAGGTAAGTGTAAGTATAAGTATAAAGGTAAGTGTTAATGCGTAGTGTAGTTGTGTTTAGTGTTAAGTGAGTGTGTGATAATGTATGTGTGTGATTGCTAGTGTGTGAGTGCATGCGAGTGTGTCCGAAGGGTGTAGTGTATGTATGTGTGATGGGTGGACCGACATTCGCCCCTCCGGGGCTGTGCAACCCCACTGAAGGGGTATACCACGGCCCCGGAGGGGCGAGGGTCGTGACACCATCCACTAAGCGCTGGTTCCTGCAATCCACAAGCAAATTAAAGTGGCTCAAAAATCAACCCCAATTATAGGTTTAGACACGTCTGCTATTGTGAAGTTCCAAGTAAAATCTCGCCTGAGTCCCAAATTTAAGTGTAAAAGCACAGGTCCATAAGTATGTATGATGGAGTTGTTCGCT